GTGCGTGTGTGCGTGTCTCCTTCTCTCTGTCGTCCCCCCTCCGTGTCGGAGCTCTCTGTCTTCTCTAACAAACTCTCTGCCTTGCTTCTCCCCCGCCCCCCCCGGGCTTCTGCTTTGTGGATGTTGGCGGCTTCTTGTTGTGACAGGAGAATGTGTGTGTGTCCTGGGCCCAGGCGGATCGGTATGTATCTCGCACCGGTACTTGCTGGAGCGCCGGGCTCGGGGGTCGGATGGGACCCGGGGAAGGGACTGCCAGGCTGGGCAGTGTCCGAGGGCTGAGACCTGGCCGGAGGGAAGGATTAACGGTTCTGCTTGTGTTAAATGTTACTTGCTCCTTCTCCCCCCTCCCCGTCCTCTCCAACAGGCTAATTCATTCAGGTCTGTCAAGTGTCTGAAAGGCACCTGGGGTAAGTGTTTTTACCTGAAGCCATGGGTGTCTTTGGCACAGTTAAGGCAGGTGTTTTGGAGGAACCTGTCTGTGCAGCATCAATTGGCCTTAATAGTGCAGTTATAACAAGCCTTTATTAAAGGAAGGGGTAATATTTTTTCCATTTTATCAGTGTAGTACCACAAAACCCATAAACTGACCATCTGACCCATTATTGGCTCTATTATATTTGTAGCCTGAAAAGTAGCATTTGTACACTGTTCTGGGCTTGGAGAGATATTTAATACTGGCTTGATTCTAATCTCTTGACAAATCTTGATTGGGTTGTAAAATTTCTACTTAATCTCTTTTCTTCTCTGCCATCTGTTGATCAACCATGATGAACTTGGGATCTTAAAGTAATTATTTAAGGCCTAGCTGGAATGTCTGGTTATATTTGGGGCATCCATGTTGTGGGGATAAATGGGAGAGACTTAGGATAACTTCACTTCAGGTTGGCAAACTTGGAATTTCTTTTACTTAATCAGCTAGGATTTATTAAATCTGGTATGTGAAACAGATTGATATCTTAAGCTGGCATGGATCTACTGTAGATGATTCAGGCTGTGGAGAATTTGAGGCCAACTTCTTACTACTTTCTCTTGGATGTCATGTAATATTTGTTAAACTAATAATTAAAAATCAGCAAAATTATCATCTGGTGGTACTGCAGAGTCACTGTAACAGCAGTACGTTTGTATTTTGCTTCATCATGGATCAACAGCAAAACTGTCAGAACAGCTGTTGTAGAACCACGTATGGGTCAGCACTGAACACAAATGCTTAGCAGTCAGGAGAACTTGATTCAGTTGGAGTCTAATGGGAGACCAGCGCTGAATCTGAGGTGCTGCTGTAGACTGGGCACATCTGTAGAACCTTGAGGTTCCCATTCTGTAAGCAAAATTTCTGCTCTTAAATGTCATGTGAAGAAATATACATAACTGTTACCAAAATAGCTCCCTTATAATTAGAAGGCAGTGAATAGATTTTAAAATCTATGTTTGGAGTTAGTTTACTTCTGTCATGCTGTATGCATGTGAAGCCTGGGCTGGAGAAATAGACTTTATAGGAAGGAAATGGCTAACATAAACTTGGTGTGCATCTGGAAGTTCAAGCCAATACACTGCTGCTATGTGTCTGTACAGCTGGCTGTGGTCCACAGGACTACAAATAGAGCTCTTCCTGGTAGCTGAACAACAGAAAACTGGCCAGTTCAGTCTTCACAGCTGTCAGTGGGAGACCTGGGAGAGGTCAGTGGACAAGAATTTTTGTCAGTTAAAGTCAAGACTGATAGTCACTCATTCATGGGGAATGAAGATGTGGTGCTAGGAAGCCAGTGGAGTGATAGAAACATGAATTCTACTTTGCTTTCAGCACTTTGTAGTTTGTAATAGAGAAACAGGCTCCACCCCTGGGAACAAGCAAGGTTGGAGGGAAGAATGTGACTCACTTCCCTTCTTTTGCAACACAGAATGAGATGAAGCTTAATATATTTCCAGACACATCTCAGCTGATCTGGGTGATTAGAATCCTGTGGCAGTATCTATGGAAAGCTTACAGAACAGAGTGATAGCAGAACACAATTCCTCCTGTGTTGCATGATCCTTTAGATTGAATATTGGGGCTTACTGCATATTTTATAGGGGCTGTCTCATCTGAAATACTGGTATGCCTGCTTGGCTAAAAAAATTAATCAATTTAGTAACTGAAGCACCTTGCACAACACAGCAGCACCCAGTTTTTCCATGGAACAATTAAATCTGAGATACAGTGGTGCTGATAGACTAGCACTTATGACTGCAGTAAGCTTTATATAAGATAATTTATAATGGTCTTTTCTAGGAAGAAGCTTTTATGATGAAACTTGATCTTAAAAGATGGAAAGAGAAAATTGAATTTCCCTTAACTGTGTGTACTTCACACAAGGCCACAGTTCAAGGGTTTGTTTTTTCTCCCCACTATGGAACTACTTTCTCAAGTACAACATTGTAAAAGACTTCTGGTAATGAGGCATAGCGAATAAAGTGTTTAAAAGGCACTCTCACTAATGTTGTGATTGGGTATGTAAATGGGGACAAGGAAGAGTATGTTAGAATAATCTTTCTTCAGGGGAATGAAAAATTATAAGGAAAGCTTTTTTAGATGTGGCAAAAAATAGTAGAATACTTTTCTTGGGTACTAAATAGTTTACCTTAATGCTGAACTAGCTTTAGACTATTGTGCAGGGCTCTATGCTAGTCATGGAAGCAAACACAGCTTGCATGTAGTCTTTCAACTCAGTAGCTTTTTAAAGCAGCTTATAAACTTAAATTTTGCTGGGGTAGATGAGCTGTTCGTAGGAGAGATGCATCTGCTTTCTACCTCTTGTATTTTTATATGATAAGCTAGAAAATTGCTGCTTAGACTGCTGTGGCTATTCTGTATATGTACACCATGGTGTTGCACAAGTTTGAAGCTTTGCATGTGAAAGGGGGGAGAAGAAACAAAACCTGCTACTGACATGTGATTGCCTAAAGAATATCTGCTGTCTATGACCTACTGCTTGCTTTTATTGTCTAAACCATCTTCATCTTAAACCCAGTTTATGATGGCATCTCAAAGTTGTTTCTTGAATCTTACTGTTAGATGCTTTATCTCTTCAGCTTTATAGAAAGACTGAGTTTTCCTCCCTGTGTGC